TCGCGGTTGCCACGGCAAAGGGACGAGCGTCCAACCGACACGATTGGGAAAAATGAAAAGACACGGAGTGGCACTTCTCACCATCCCATCGGTGAAGTACTTGCAGCTCATCTTGATGAATTTCACCGTTGCCGGGCTCTCGTCCTCCGAATTGGGGGAGAGCTGGCGTCGGAGGGGCCGCGCCGACCTGCACTTTGGGCCGTCTTCCTGAAGGTCCCAACAAAGAGAGAGAGAGAGAGAAACTGGATTTGTGGGCGCTCTCGCCACATTTCCATTGACCTGAAAGCGCCTTACAGCGATTCAAGCGTTCCAAATTCAACGTCAAGGGCCGAGATTTTCTGCCGCTCGGATGTTTCGGCGCTCAACCACATCAAAAGCTCCTCGCATTGGGCAAGGCGCTCAACTTTGCAGTGGTGGGGAAAGGCGCACAGCCTTGGTGACCACCTGCAAGGAAGTTGCCATTTTGGACTCCACCCCCGCGCACCTCGGGCACCGGGCAGGCGCGTCGGGGCGGGGCGGGGGAGCTCCCAGAGGCAAGGTGGGGCGAGGCCATTTCGGGATTGGAAAAGAGGTCATTGGACCTTCGAGAGTCCTCTCAGACGCGGAGGGATGCCAGAGGAGGAGTTGTGCGCTCCCTCTTTATACGAGCGCCGGTCGAGAGGCGAGCGGCGGCGGGCGTTCCGCGCCGAATGGACACGCTTGACGGAGGAGCGGCCGATCGACTCCAACGGTCAAGCGCATGACGGCGATCCGGCCGAGAGGTGACCAAGGCGCGTTTTCTTTGTACTCACCGCGGTGGTCGTCTCCGCAGAGGAGCCGTTGGCGAGGGCCGGCGAGGGGGCATTCCGGCAATTCAAATCGGTCCGGCCCACGTCGGGCACAAAGAGTTTCTGCAAACAGAAAGGGCCAAACGTTGCGGCTCGCCCGGCGCCGTCGCCGCGACGGCTCGCTCACCTGACCGGGGTAGACGCTGCGGCAGAAGAGCTTGTTCAGCTGGACCAGCTTGTTCGGGGTGACGTTGAAGTTGAGGGCGATGCTGTTGAGGGAGTCCTCGGGCCCCACCTACGGCACAATCGCAGTCCCGCGCCGTCAAACGACAGCCGCGGCCGGCGTGGCGCTCGAGCGAGCGACTCACAATGAACTCCGCGGTCCCCGGGGGCCTCCTCTTCTCCCTCTTGGCCGGGTTAGGACTTTTCAAGCCGCCGGCTGCCAGCGAGAACGGATGTGAGAGCACGCGGAGCGCGGCGGACCGGTTTCGCTAAATGCTTTGCACAAGAGAAAAGCTGCAGCCGCGCCGGCGCGAGCGAGCGGCCGCGTCTCCTTTCTCTTCTCGCTGCGCATATATATGGAATTTTCTTTTGGAGGGCGGGGGGGGGGGTGCATATTGGAGGTAAAGCCTGCACGACTGTCCGTGTTTTGATGTTACGTGTTATTCATTTTACTTCATGTTCACGGAGTTTGTTAAGCGCTTTCACAACAACTGCAGCTGTTTGTTGCGAAAGCGCTCCATAAATCCTGATGTATCGTATCGTATTGTTTCGCAGCATTTGACGAAGAAATGCATTTCTGTGGCCGTCGGTTCCATGCGGACTTTGGCCGATAAGAGGGCGCGGCGCGCGTTTTGAAAACGCCATTTGCGGCGTCTCCGGCGCAGTCTCTTGACCTGAGCCGGCGGGCGTCCTGGCGGCGGCCGGTCTGGGCGGGCCGGCCTTCGTCTTGCGTTCGCCGTCGTTCGGGACGTCCGGAGGGGCGATGACGGGCGCGCCGTGCTCGCTCGCGCTTTTCTCCGACGGGCTCTGCTTGAGCTGTCTCCGCCTCTTCAGTCTGGCGCAACACAAACACAACGCGCTCTTAAAAATGCAGCCGTCCGTTTTCGAATCCGCTTCTCCTCTCGAGGACTCTTACAGTCCATCCAATGAAAAAAAACAACAACAACGAAAACCTCTCGACTCGTTGGCTCATAAGCCGCCACGCGAAGGAAGCTGAGTTGGGTTTTCACATTTCGCTATGCCAAAGCATCCCTTACCGGGCAAAGTATCCCGGCTTTCTGTCCCTCTTCTCCATCGGGCCGGGCGGCTAAACGCGCACGCAGGGGAGGCGGCGAGCCACACGCGCATCCATCCGCCTTACGCGCTGTTGGCGGTGGTATTGCTGCGCCTGCTGCTGCTGCTGCACCTCTTTCTCGTCCTGCAAAGGGAGAGCGCGCACACGCCCTGGTGAAGATAAGAACCGAAAACCTTCATTTGTCTCCCAATGGAGAACTTCCCAATTTCCAGGAGCAAAACGATGAAAGGGAGAAGTCGTGAACGCCCTTCGGCCACGCTCAAAGCCCCAAAAGAGGCATCCTCGCAGCTCCCCTTGTGCACGTCATGAAACACACATCTGCTCGCGGTTCACGCCGACGACTGTTATGATGCAAGCATTCCTGCCCACAACCGTTGAATTTGGAGGATTCCGACTGTCCAGTTACGAAGCATTCGCGCAAGCCTGAAGAAAACAAAACCTTACATAACGAGCCGAGTGCGCGAAGTTCAGTCCGAGGGACGTTTGTTCGTTCGTGTTTGTTTGTTTGTTTTACCCCTTGGTCGCTAGCCGCTACATTGGTGGCTCGGCGTCGGCGTCGGCGTCGGCGCGGTCGCCGCTTCCTCACACAACGCGCGACATCCTTCCAACTCCGGGGACGGCCGGAAACGACGTGTGCTCGCGTGTCTCACTCGAACCCAGAGAGCAAGGTCCAGCGTGGCCGGCTGCTGATGCTAACGCCTTTGCTAACTCGTAGCGGCTCTGTTGACAAGACAATAGAAAGCCGAGGGGAGGGGAGGGGAGGGGCGGGGCCGGGGGGCGGCGCGGATGGGACTTGGGCCTTGCACCCCGGGCCTGCC